TTCACCAGATCTGCCTCCCTGTGCATTTGTCCACTTTAACAAATGAATATCAGTTTGATGAGTTGCACACTGGATTAGATACAGAGAATAGGGGGGACAAACTGGGCCTTCACCTGAGCAACCTGATAATGGCACCACCAGCTAGAAACCGTTCTGAAGATGGTTTTGAGGAAGACTTCAGTCAGACTTAATTTAGGTATGGTTTTTAATTTTTTGTTGGTCACACCAAATGGGCAATCGTGGCTCAAGAGTTGGCAGTTTGTCTTTTAATCGGCTCGGACAGCCTCGGTCGTTGCGTCCTTAAGCAAGACACTTCACCTGTTGAACTGGTGGTGGTCAGAGGGCCCGGTGGTGCCAGTGTCCGGCAGCCTCGCCTCTGTCAGTGCGCTCCATGGCAGCTGTGGCTACAATGTAGCACACATCACCAGTGTGTGAATGTGTGTGTGAATGGTAAAGGGATTCTTGGAAACTAAGTAAACCGCTATACAAATACAGGCCATTTACCATTCACCATTTTACCTCATATAAAAACTGTTTTTCAGTCTACTTACCATGACTGACACTTGGTGCTACGTGTCTGTCCAGTTAAGTAGGTCTGGCCAGCAAACACACAGGGGCAACTGGCTGGATTCACACAGCTGAAGCCAGGAAAGTGATCATTAAGCAGCTTGCCTAGACACATGTTTAGTACCGCCTTAAAACACAGTTAACAAAAAATAAAGCCATATAAATTATTCTAGCTGCTGAATGACTGAAGATCTGCTCACCATCCGGGCATACACAGGAGCTAGTCATATCCTGGTTGGTGACCTGTGGGTTGGGATTGGAGCAGCTAGGAACAAAGGGGGCACCTTCTGCTTGATAAACCAGATTTCCAGGACAGGTCGGCTGATCTAATTTCACACAAAAAAAGACAATATTTCATTGCAATTTTCAATTCCCAGTTAAAATAAAGTTAAATTTAACGTAACAAAACTCAACTTTTTTCAAAATGTTAAATCTGATTAAAGATCACCTACCGCATTTGGTTATGGAACTCGTTTTGTTCCAGAAAGATCCCCTTTTTCCAAAAAGCTGACCAATCTCTTTGAAGAAAGCACAGCTGATATATTTGCTGTCTTCGTAGCTGTAAATGTTCTTGTAACACAGCTGAAGGTAATGAAGCCAGCTTAACTGTAGATGACCCGTGATGTGGGAGAAGAATTGATTGCAGACCTGCAAATACCAGAGAAATAATCTAGAACCAACTGACAGAGTCCACGTGTGATGTAAACATTTGACCTAAATTTTATGATTAGGTGTTTGGAAATACAGCTGATTGCATAGACTCCCAAATGTTACGCACTAGGAGATAACTAGAAGGTAATTTCACTTATAACCTTGCTACATCAGACATCGATCCTCTGAAACGTGTTGGCAAAAACAGTTTTCCCTGTCAGGAAAAGCCACTATCTCCACAGCACCACCAATCAGGGGACATAGATTAGATCATGTGACATCTAAACGGCCCATTTATCACTTTGTTCAGATTGTCTCATAATTGTCTACTAACTTCATGTGTAATTTCATATC